TTCTTTTTGCTTATGTGGTGCTGAGGAATCGAACCCAGGGCCTCAGGCATGCAAGGCAAGCGCTCTACCACTGAGCCACCTTCCCAGCCCCTTCTCTCCTCTCTTGGAGGCTGCTTTTTAGTAGCTCCCTTGTCATTGCCACCAACCAGATGCCACCATAGCCATCAACACTGCTACCCTGCCTCCCCCTGAATCTTGGCTTTTATCTTCTCTTTCTAGCCAAGCAGGTGTCTGCCTCTTGCTAGGTTCTGCTTGCCCACCCACTTGGTAGTACAGTTAGGCTTAGAAGTCCAGCCAGGGCAGACAGACAGGACTCAGAACCTCAGCCTGCCATAGGAGATGGGAAGCAGACAGCAAAAGTATGCAAGAGACCGACCAGGCCAGCAGTCTGGGACCCTTCTGTCTCTTTCTGCCACCTCTAGAGTCTCAAGGACTCTCCACCCCCACCCCCACCCCTGCTTTTGCTCTTACTCTGACACCTTTCACCTTCCATGCCAGGCCACTGTCTCTTGCTGCAGGGCTGCCCACATTCACTATCTCCACTTCACAAACAAAGAGAAAGCCAGGGACCGTGGCCTAGCCCAGAGGTGTTGTCACGGTATGGCTCTCTGCTTTTCTCTTCCCAATGGGTGGGAGAAAGGGAGGTGGAGGGCTTGGAGAGTGAGCTGTTAGCTCACTCTGTTAGCTGACTTGTCTTCCCAGAGTACGGGGGTAGGGGGTCTCTGCATCCAGCCTTCGCCTCTGCCACTCAAACAAGTTCATTCATCCTGACTGGGGTCCACTGAATCCTACCAAGGATCAATGACCACACCCCGCCTACAGCGCCAGGTCAGTGAGAGGCGGGGAAGTCAGGGCAGGCACCACCCATAAAGCCCAGGAATGGCACATAAGTGCCCAGGCCCACAGTGTGAAGAGTGGCAGTGTGAGGAGCTGGAGAGAGAATGAGCAAGATCTTCTGCTTTCCACAGGTGAAGCCCCTGGGCTTCCTCAAGCCCTCCAGCTTGATGAGTGTTTCCAGTCGCTTCAAGGCCCACCAGGATGCACTGCCCAGGCTGCCCGTGCCCTCGCTCCAGCAGTCCCTGGACGGTTACCTCAAGGCACTGCAGCCCATCGTGAGCGAGGAGGAGTGGGTCCACACCAAGCAGCTCGTGGATGAGTTTCGTACCTCAGGAGGTGTAGGGGAACGCCTGCAGAAGGGGCTGGAGCGCAGGGCCAAGAAGATGGAAAACTGGGTGAGTGCAATGGGAGGGGCCGCTGTAGGGTTCCAGGGGCTTGGGGCTCCTCCTAGAAATCTCTCACTGTGGCGTTACTAGCTGCACAACCAGATGTTTCCAGTATTGCTGCTCTGGCATGTACCCACATTTGACCCCATGGAGCTTCCTGAGCACTTACACTGAGTCTGGCAACTCCCGGGTGTTGGGTGAGCAAGAGGGACTAGCTGGAGCCTCTTAGAGCTGATACTCAAGCAGCAGTAAAGAGGACACAGCAGTAGGTGAAGTCATTTCAAGCAGGGTCATGCCTTGAAGTAGACAAATAATAGACAGCAGACAGGTAGGAGAGGCCAGGTGTGGCTCAGTAGTAAAGCATATGCAAAAATCTGGGTTCTTCCCTAATCCTCAGGGGAAAAAGGTGAGGGAGATGGAGTGAGGGCTGGAAAATGGCAGGGAGGGCAGGAAGAGGGACAACAGGAAGGTTAGGATCTGAGCCATTAGGGCAGATGTGGCAACAGCCTGGCACCTTTTGGGCTGGAGTGGAGGGCAGGGGCCAGGGCAGTCAAAGAGAAGGAAGGAGCTGGGCACTAGTGGGTGGCTCACACTTGTAATCCCAACTACTCAAGAGCTGAGATCTGAGGATCACAGTTCAAAGCCCAGTCAGGAAAGTCTATGAGACTTATTTCTAACCAAAAAGCCAGAAGTGGAGCTGTGGCTTACATGGTACAGCCTTGAGCAAAACAGCTAAGGGATTGTGCCACCCAGTTTTGAGTCTGAGCTGTTAAACAAACGTGTTTAGCTTGGGAAATACGTCTGTGCTGTTGCATCCTGAATTTCACTGTATTTGTCCTCTATTCAGACATAAAAATTTTATGTTCCCTCCCAGCCACTAGGAGGGAGGTGGGAGTGGGGAGGCGGTGCTTCACTTGGGGGGATTCTTTTTTTTTTTTTTTGCCAGTTCTAGGGCTTGAACTCAAGGCCTGGGCTCTGTGCCTGAGCCTCTCCACGCTCAAGGCTATCACTCTATCGCTTGAGCCATATAGCGCCCTTTCTGACTTTTTCTCTGTATGTGGTACTGAGGAATCAAACTCAGGGCTTCATGTATGCTAGGCAGCACGCTACCACTAAGCCACATTCCCAGCCCAGAGGGGATTCTTGTGGATTGGACCTGGTGCTTCAGAGCAGGGTGGGTAGTGAGTGAGGTCCTCACTGTTTAAGAGACAGTCAATGGCACTCATGATGGGATCCAAAGCAACTTGGTGAAGAGCCAGTCTGGGGTGAGTAAGGGAGAAGCAAGCTATGGGAAAGAAGCAGAGCTGGGCTCCGGCCTGTGAAGCATAGTCTTCCCTCAGTAGCCACAGAAGGTGGCGCCGTGTCCTCCACAGAGGTCAGCTACCACAGACCTTCAGGTCCGTTTTAAAATGCTATGGCATTTGCTTCTAACCTAAGCACACCCTCCGGCACACCCCAGATCACCTGTGGATTGCTTCCAAGGCTTGATATGCTGTGAACTCTGTCACTAGTAAAGTTACACAGGGGCAGGGGGGCTTTTTGCTGCCAGCATTCATTGGCTATGTATAGCAACATTTGTGAGGCTGCGGATTTATCAGTGCCAGCAGGGCACACAGGCTGACGAGAACCGTCTGAGGAGCTTGGGTCTGTCAAGCCAGGTTCCAAATGACTTCCACGGCCTCATTTGGCTCACAGATGGGACATTTACCAACCATGCCCTGCTTTAAAGGATAATGACAAAGAAAAACATGTACAGACATGGCATGTATGGGTGTGAGGATTTTCCCGAACATCCTCCATTCTGGGTTGGTTAAAGCTGGACACAGAACCCACAGATCTGGAGGATGGCTGAATGAGAAAGGTTGTGTGGAGGGGGGGGTGGGGGGGCGGCAGGTAGGAGCTATTGCTGGGGTGGGAGCAGTTACTGAACCTTAACAGCCTCAAGAGGTCAGGGTTTTGCCTCGGGGTCAGGATGCTGACCTGAGAAGGAAAATCACATTTTTCCAGCTTTGTTTCACCAAGGACTCTTTCAAACTGAAGCTTCTAGCTAAAGGGGTGACGCCACACCTCTCCCCTCACAGAACTCCTGCCACCATCTGGCATTGTCTCTGGGGTTGCCCACATTGCAGGCTCCCCTTTCTCTAGCCAGGGGCTTAGGGAGTATTGGTAGGCTGCAGGCCCCTGGCTGCCCTTTCCTGTCAACAAGGAAACTGAGGCCCAGAGAGACAGACCCAAGCCAGGGCCTCGTGAGGACCCTCTCAGGAAGGCCCGGCAGTGCAGTCCTCAGGCTATGAGTCAGCACATGGCGATCCTCAGGAACAAGCCAATCTCCTCTTGCCTGAGTTGAGTGGGCAGCACCCCCCTCCCTATGTGGCAAAGAGACATTTCCTGCTGCTGCCTGGGGGGCGGGGGGAGGAGGCACGGTGGGCTTGGGGCCTGCACGGTGGAGGACATGTACTGGGGAGAGTTGCAGTCAGCACAGAAGAGTCAAGCATGCCAGGCAGCTGGGTGTGCACAACCCCAAGGCAGCCATTCAGCCTGGCGCCGGCGGCAGGTCCCTGCCCCCACCCCACGCGGAGCAGAGCAAGGTCCCTCAGGATCGATCGTCAGGATGTGTCATCAACATCCCGTCAACAACACAATAATTTACCCTCAGCGCCAGTCCCCTCAAGATACCAATAAAACAGGAGGGCCAGGTGCTGTGGGCGGCCCTGCACCAGGGCCCCCTTGAACAGGTCCCGGTTCAAAACCTCGTTCATTGGACCTTTTTTTTTTTTTTTTCAGTACTGAGTCCTGGGGTAGAACTTAGCTCTCAAATGCGCTAGGCAGTGCTTTTCCATTCTGACCTATGCCCTGAGCCTTTTTGTATTTATTTTGTTTTTCAGCAAGAACTAGTTAACACTTTGCCCCAGCTGGCATAGTGCCCTGAATCCTCCTGCATCTTCCTGCCAGGTAGCTGGGGTTAAAGGCGTGTGTGCTGCCATACCTGGCTTGAACATTTTTTTAGTATGTCTTTCCCATTTTTTCCTTCTGTCTCTCCAGGGGTGCATTTTTTACTTATGAATGTATCATTGTGGATTTGAGGTTTGGTTTTTTGTTTGTTTTTGCTTTTGTGTCAGTCCAGGGGCTTGAACTGAGGACCTAGGCATTGTCCCTAAGCTTTTGCGCTCAAGGCTAGTGGTCTACCATTTAAGCCACAGCTCTACTTCCAGTTTGTTTTTTTGTTTGTTTATTTGTTTTTGCCAGTCCTGGGGCTTGAACTCAGGGCCCGGGCACTGTTCCTGAGCTTCTTTTGCTCAAGAGTAGTACCCTACCACTTGAGCCACAGCGCTACTACTGGCTTTTTCTGCTTATGTGGTACTGAGGAATTGAACCCAGGGCTTCACGAATGCTAGGCAAGCACTCTACCACCAAGTCACATTCCCAGCCCCTACTTCCAGTTTTTTGTTGGTTAATTGGAGATAAGAGTGTCACAAACTTTCTTGCCCGGGCTAGCTTCAAACCTTGATCCTCAGATCTCAACCTACTGAGTAGCTGGGATTACAGGTATATTCCACCAGTATTGGGCTACTAATATGGCATAATCACCATCAGAACGTAAGATAAAGAAGAGGTTAGAAGTGTCTCAGAGCGTGAGTATGTGTTTTATCAGTAAGTGTGAGGCCCCAGGTTCAATCTCTAGCACCACAGGGAGAAAAGAAAAATTATTCACCTTTCTGCCACTGCCCTCTGCCCAGTTTCTTCTCTTGCATGCTTTCTTGGCAGTGTCCACGCACAGGTGAAGAGGAAAACAGTGGGTTCAAGGGGTGCCTGGGCCTCCACATTCACTTGGACATCTGGGCTGCAGAGTAAGGTTGGGGGCCAGTAGGGCCAATCAAGTCCCTGTGCCCCTGCCTCTGACGCTCTGGTCCTTGCTCAGCTGTCCGATTGGTGGCTCAAGACTGCCTACCTCCAGTTCCGCCAGCCTGTGGTCATCTGCTCCAGCCCGGGCGTGATGCTACCCAAACAGGACTTCATAGATCTACAGGGTCAGCTTCGGTGAGTGGCTGGGCCAGTGAGCACTGGGAGAGAGCCAGGGACCAGGGCCCTGCAAATTACAACACCCCAAAGTCTATTCCCCAGGAGATTGGAGGGCCCCAACCTGCTCTTCTCTTATCTCCACAAATAGAAAAGAGGCATTGTCCCTGCTTTACAGATGGGGAAACTGAGATCACCATTCAGGTGATAGGTTGTTTCTAACTGTGCAGCACCAGGCCTGCCTAATTCTCCTCAGCTGGCCACAGGGGTGACCTTTATACACATTCCCCTTTCAGCATTCAGTCACGTCACCTGCCCTGCCCTGCCCTAGTCCCCGTTCCAGTCCTAACAGAGATAAAAATACCAACAACTGGGATCTCCTGTCCAAGGACCTGCTAATCACTCTCTGCTGCCACCTGCTTCTCTTAAAGAGACCAGGGCAAGAGAGAGCACCAATGAGGCCCTGAGTTCAATCCCTAGCAACACACACACACACACACACTAATGAATAAAGGGACCAGCGCACCCTGGGAAGGGCTGGAGCTTCAGCCTCAGAACTCTGGCTGTGATCCGTGTGTTGGGGTGGACCTAGGTACTAGGGATCATTGCCATGGGCCAGGACACTCCTCTTCATAAGCCCAGCTGGACCAGGCACCAGTGGCTCACTACTGTGGTCCCAGCTATTTAGGAAGCTGAGATCCGAGGATCCTGTTTCAAAGCAAAGGCCAGGCAGAAAAGATTCTTATCTCCAACTAACCACCAAGAAGCTAGAAAAAGAAGGGTGGCTCAAGTGATAGAGTACTAGCCTTGAACACAAAAGGTAAGTGAGATTACAAGGCCCAAACCAAAGGAAAAAAAACAGCTCAGTAAAACCACAAAAAAAAAAACACACACACAATTGTTCAGGGAGAAAATCCAGGTTGACTGCAGTGACTTGGAGGTTGGTAAGAAGGAAGATCAGAAGAAAAGGAGCTGAGGGGACACTGCCAGCCACCACCCTCACTGCGGTGACAGCCTCCCTTAAGGCCCTCTGTGGGTGGGGCTGGCTGGCCACCTGTATCCCCCTGAGCCCTACAGAGGATGCTCCCAGGTGGTGATCTCAGGACAAGGGATCTGCGGGAGCTTGGCCCAGGTTCTGCCTCCCCCACACCCAACACTTGACCTGGCCACACAACTTCACATCTCTAATCCACCCCTCTAGGTTTGCTGCCAAACTGATCGAAGGTGTGTTGGATTTCAAGGCCATGATTGACAAGTAAGCAGCCCCACCCCCACCCTCTTCCTTGTCCAGGCCTGCCTAACACTGTTGCCACACCTGGCCCCTAGCCCTGACCTGTCAGCCCAGGCTCAGAGGTCATTTGCATTTCCTATTGGCTCAGTCTCCACAGGAGTTGGGGACAATGGCCACTAGAAGCTGAGTTGCTTAGGTCCCATGTCCCAGTTACCGGGGCCTCCTCCTAATGATTTCGACCCATCTCACCCCAGCAGGGGACTCCATGTTTCATCATGTCGGTGACAAAATCAAGCCTGGGAGAAAGAAGGGAGGGAGTTTCCAGGGGGCTCATAAACAGTGCTTCTCCAGCCAGGCATGGTGGCTCATACCCGTCATTCTAGCTACTCAGGAAGCTGAGATGGTAGTTCAAAGCCAACCTGGGCAGAAAAGTCTGTGAAAGTTTATCTCACAATTAACCACCAGAACAGGGCACTAGTGGCTCACATGTGCAATCCTAGTCACTCAGGAGGCTGAGATCTGAGGATCAAGATTGGAAGCCAGCTCAGGCAGAAAAGTCTCTTAGACATAAGACTCTTATCTATAATTAACCTCCCCCCCCAAAAAAAAAAGGAAGTGGTTTTATAGCTCAAGTGGTAGAGCACTAGCCTTGAGCACAAAGATGCTCAGGGACAGCGCTAGACCCTGGATTTAAGCCCCACAACCAACAACAACAACAAAAATTGGGCTGCGAATATGGCTTCGTGGTAGAGTACTTGCCTAGCATGCATGAAGTCCTGGGTTCAATAAACAGAAAAGGCCAGACATGGCTCAAGTGGTAGAATGCTAGCCTTGAGGGGAAAAAAAAAAAACTCAGGGATAGCACCCTGGCCCTGAGTTCAAGCCCCAGGACCGATTAAAAAAAAATAGTGCTTCTTCAGCTGGGCACAGTGGCTCACACCTATAATCCTAGCTACTCAGGAGACTGAGATCTGAGGATCATGGTTCAAAGTCAGCCTGGGCAAAAAAAAAAAAAAAAGTCTATGAGACTTTATCTCCAGGGCTGGGAAGGTGGCTCAGTGGTAGAGTGCTTGCCTTGCATGCCTGAGACCCTGGGTTCAATTCCTCAGCACCACATAAGAAAAAAAGCCAGAAAGTGGCCCTGTGGCTCAAGTGGTAGAGCGCTAGCCTTGAGCTGAAGAGTTG